GGGAACTTATTTTGCATATAACGTAGATTTGGTTCTGAATTAGTTTCAGCTATGGAACCCTAAGTGATGGTGTCTCTTTTGTCGGAACCCCGGTATCATAAATAAAAATTTATTAGCAGTTGTATATATACTTACCAAACGAGGAATGAATCATGGGTTAGAGTTCTTTTGCCACGAGGCTAACCGTGGTAGGTTTAAATGGTTTTCCTCTCCATGTAACGCAAATGCGGGTTAATTCCATCAAAAAGTCCTCCGCGAAAGCAAATTTTCCCCACAACTTGATCCAAGAGTTCTCTTGTCTTCTGGATTATGTTCAAAATTACAAGGCTATGGAGTTAAACATTGGTATCCAATTTTGAGTCGTAAGCTCAAAATTGGATAAGTTGCTTAACGACGGTTATAAAATAAAATAAAATTTGGATTCGATATATGCATATAATCATTCTGAATTATTTGTATACATTGAAAAGCTAATTGAGAAATATTTACTTAATGAGTTTTTTATGCATGCATATCCTTTCCATAATATATGCAATTAATTAGTTAATTTAATTAATAGTTATCACTAATTTATTAACATTATATTAGATGAATTTCTCGAACTTAGATTCTTTTTCATTTTTATTATTTTCTTATAATTTTGTATGTTGTTAAACATTAGTTTTGTCACGGGTACTATGTTTATACCAAAAAGTTTTATTTTTAATTGCAAAAACACTTGATTCTAAATCATCTGCTTCCTTGCATGGCAGATGCATGTGATTGGAGCCGTGAAAAAAAAGTTGCGAGCCATTAAAACAGTAATAAACTTTACAACAATATGGAAAAAAAATTAAAACAAGAACCATAAAACATTAAAAACAAAAGAAAATCAGTCTGTCGACGTTCAATATCATCTCTCTTGCCTCCCAATATCGATTATGAAAGGATTCCTTCAAAGAAGAACACTTAGCTAAAATGGTTTTTTTCAATTTCGAGAATCTGTTTCATTTTATAACCGTCGTTGAACAGCCAGCCTAATTTTGGGTTTACGACTACCAATGCTTGACTCCGTAGCCTTGTAATTTTGAGCCCAAATCAGAAGATGAGGAAACTTTTAGATCAAGTATTAGCAGAAACTTTGCCTTCATGGAGGACTTTTTTACGAAACGAACCCGCATTTGCGTTACATGGAGGGGAAAACCACGAAAACCTCCTATGGTTGGCTTGACGGCTAGAGGAACCATGTTTGATCTACCATTGAGGATATTTTATGTCAACATTGTGGTCGGTGCAAGCTCAGATGCGAACTCCTATCGACCAGCCATTGCTGGGATTCGAGCCCGGGACACCTCATTGGAAGGCAAACGCTCTATCTCCTGAGCCACCGCGGCTCCCGAGAATCTGTTTATGCAAAATGCACAAGATATTATTATAAATGTTAATGCGGTATAGCTGTTGGTCGAAATCAGTCCATGAATAGGTCTTGAAAGCGAACAAGTTTCATAGACCCATTCATAGACATAGACTCATCATCATATGAAGCAGCTGACACCCTTGATGAATGATTAATTGATTAAATGATTTTTTATGTAAAGATTACGGTGTTATTATACGTTTTTTTATATCTTAGACGTACTGATAGACAACGGTGTCAGTTACGTCGTCATTTGTGACATCAAGAGCGTCAGCAGCTTCTTATGATGAAGACCCTATATCCATGAATAGGTCTTGAAAGCGAACAAGTTTCATAGACCCATTCATAGACATAGACTCATCATCATATGAAGCAGCTGACACCCTTGATGAATGATTAATTGATTAAAGGATTTTTTATGTAAAGATTACGGTGTTATTATACGTTTTTTTATATCTTAGACGTACTGATAGACAACGGTGTCAGTTACGTCGTCATTTGCGACATCAAGAGCGTCAGCAGCTTCATATGATGAAGAGCCTATGTCCATGAATAGGTCTTGAAAGCGAACAAGTTTCGTAGACCCGTTCATAGACATAGACTCATCATCATATGAAGCAGCTGACACCCTTGATGAATGATTAATTGATTAAATGATTTTTTATGTAAAGATTACGGTGTTATTATACGTTTTTTTATATCTCAGACGTACTGATAGACAACGGTGTCAGTTACGTCGTCATTTGCGACATCAAGAGCGTCAGCAGCTTCATATGATGAAGAGCCTATGTCCATGAATAGGTCTTGAAAGCGAACAAGTTTCATAGACCCATTCATAGACATAGACTCTTCACCATATGAAGCAGCTGGTACCCTTGATGAATGATTGATTGAATGACTTTTGTATAAAGATCACTGCTTTATTGCATATTTCTTTATATTATTATTTTTTAATTTTTCAGACTCTCTAATGGACACAGCGATGTCAGTTAGAACGTCATCTGTCACATCAAAGGTGTCAGCAGCTTCATTCGATGAAGAATCTATGTCCATGAGCAGGTCTATAAAAGCGACCAGGAGGGTCGGTGAACTTGAAGAAGACAATATTTCATATTCATTGGCTTCCAAGAAGACGAAACTAAGCTCCGCGTATGAGGCTGACGAATCTAGTTTGTCAGCATCCACTTTCGCCAATCGGGCGATTCGCGGAGATACCTACAGAACAGATTCACCAATATCAGACATCAAAGTGAGTACGATTTTAATGATTATTGATGATAATTATTGAGTAATATGATTACATCAGTAGTATGAGAAAAAAATGACCAATTGCCATACACCTAACTGTGGATCAGCTTCTTGTTTCACTGATGTTTATCATAAGGTCTAAGTTAAGTCAAAATGAATGCCTGAATTTCATAGATGTACTACACAACATATGATTAATGTAAAAATTCATTAAAAAGGTACATTTATGCAGAGGTAATATAAGCAAGTTTTGAATATTCCCCAATAGAGGGCGCTGGAAGTCTAACTATCATCAGCGTTTCTGCGAAAATAAAATGACTGAAGAGCGGACTCACCTTAATAACACTTTACCGCGATGGTCGGTTGGTTGTGTATTTACTGCACATAAAGCATAATAGTTTTGGTCACCACGATCTCCAGATCTTATATCCATTAGATTTTTTTTTCGGTGGAAGTTTTCCAAAAGATCACGTGTATGTGCCTTCAGGTTCGAGCACCATGTCTGATTTTAAAGTTCACATCGCAGCTGCTATTACCAGCATCGATAAAATCATACAGTACAAAGTTTGGCCAAAATTACTTTTCTGACTTGATGTATTCCGTAAAACAAAAGGAACGCATATTAAACACTTCTTAGGAATGAATTGAAAACTTACTTATATTACCTCCGAATGTACGTAAATTTTTACATTTTTACATTTATACATTTATATCATTTTTAGTAATGTACCTATGAAGCTCTGGAGCATTCATTTCTACTTACCCGGTAAAGATAGAGGAATGTTGGATTAGTTGATGGTCAAATCACTGACTGCAAAAAATGTACCTTAAGAAATCTATATTTAAAAGAAACGGCGTAGATAACATAAAAATACCCAATTGGGTGGCAAGCAATGAGTTAGTGTGCAAATGTTTTAGTGGATTGTTTCATATAAAAATTAATGCTTGATAAAAAGCAATCAATGCTTTAAAAAGTCAATTTTAAAATTAATTTAAAAGTGCTTTAAAAAGTCACCCATGTAAAAAAAAATGTTAGGTGGCAATGGATTAATGTCTTTTTAGCACATCAATTAGAAATAAAATCACCGTGTAATTAGAAATATTTAATACGAAATCTATATGAAAGGAAAATAACAGGCCAGGTGGCCTAACGGTTAGCGTGCCTGAATGAGAAACAAACGGCTGCAGGTTCGAACCTCGCCCAGGGCAAGAATATCTCTCCCTATGCTTTTCTCTGTGTGTTCTCTATTATGTGTGATGTGTGAATGTGCCCCCCCCCCTATGAACCGCTATCTGAGGCAGTGTGGGGTGGGAAATGTTGCTCACCCTCACAAGCTCACCAGGCAACGCAAAATGAGTAACACTTCCGGCACCTTCCATAGCGAAGAACAATAAGTTCAGTGCCAGCCTTTAAAAAAAAAGAAAATTACAAGCATAATTAGAGAATATCAAAATGGTTGGCAGATGATTTGTTGATGTGTCATTGTTTTATCTCATTATTCCATAAAAAATATCAATGATTGATAAGACGATATTTAATAAGCAACAAATACTTAAGAAAAAGTCACGAAAGTGAAGGAAAAATATTAAAATGGTTAATTGACATGGATTAATGTGTCATTGATTTCAGCACATATTTTCATGAAAAATTCATTCACTGATAATAAAGTTCATTTAGTGAATTTCATTTAAAAAAAATTACAGAAAAAGCATAAAATATTCAAATTGGTTGATAATTGATTAGCGTGTTTTTTTAAAAATTTATTTTGAACTTGTTATTTTNTTTTGTTGATTTTGCTCGTTATTTCAGAATTTTCGGGTAAAATTTTTAATGCTTTAAAAAGGTTAGAATAAGGTCTGAACTTTATATAAAATTTCTTTATTTTTTCGGAAACGGAAATTACCGGGAATTGAAACTTGTTCTTTTATATTAAGTTTTTATAGAATATTTGAGATTTTTCTTCCATTATCAAAATTAATTAAATCTCGAAGCTCGAAAGCTCATAAAACTTATAATAATGCGGATAGCACATAGCATCTCAAACTAGATTTAAATCGTTATGAAAAAATTCTAGATTATAATTTTCTTTCATGAATGAAAGTTATTCTGGGTATCACTTATGAATCAAGTTTGATTATCTCAGTTGACATATAAAATGCATGTGATCTTGAAAATTTGACAAATTCTGACACAATTTGAGGTAGGTGTAGAAAGCTGAAGAGAAACCAGTTTCTCGCATTGCTTGCAGCTACAACTTGTTGCTATTTTTAAAGGAATAGAAGATTCGATATAAAATGCATTCTGGGAAACAATGCCAAACCATCTTGGCACACACCTCTAATCACCGAGACCTTCGAAACCTAAATAAAGTTAGAGAATGAAGAGGAAGATCTGTCTGCAGAAAGAAGTAGAAAAAAAATTCCATTTCCACCCGGGAACCCTTGTTTAAGCTTTTCTCTGTTGCATTCTGAAAGGGACAGAAGCAGTTGCCTGACAACACCATCTGCTTCAAACGAATCATTCTTTCCTAATTAGAATAAAAAACAATCATTCCGATCGAATAGTTGCTTCGATTTCGTTCGACCATGTTTTCGATCAACTCTGCCCTTCTCCAACTGGACAAAAAACTGGAAGAGGACAATAAATTTAACGAATACTTGAAGAAAACCGAAGCCGTAACTGGAATCGAACGTCGAAAATTGGTTCTCACGACATGCTTTATCCTTGGTGCTATGGTAATTATCGGATATGGTGCTCAACTGGTCTGCAATGGTATTGGTTTCGCTTACCCAGCTTACTGTTCGATTTTGGCCATTGAAACCCGCAACAAAGAAGATGATACTTTGTGGTTGACCTACTGGGTCGTGTTCGCTGCATTGTCCCTTGCAGAATTTTTCTCAGATTTCATCTTGGCTTTAATTCCTTTCTATTGGTTCTTGAAGTGTATTTTCCTTATGTGGTGCTTTGTGCCTTTCAAAGTGAATGGTTCTAGAATCATCTATTACCGATTTATCAGGCCTGTTTTCCTATCTCATGTCGGACATCCAGAACCCGAAGAATCTACTCCTAACGACGAGCATGAGAAGTCCTCATAAATTGCTAGTCCAAGAGATGCTCTGTTTTTCAACTTGAGAGTGAGAAGATACCGATGAGTATTTGTGACTGAGGAATAATGCGTTTTTACTGATAGCATTTAGAATAGTGTGATTGTTCTTTTGTACCCTTCGTCAATTCCTGGTGATCGTAACTGTTCTTTTGTACCTATTTGGATACCATACCTCATCCAATGTGAAAAACCATGTTATTAACTATTATTTTTTCTAAACCAGACTTTTTAAACTTCTATCACCGAAGTTTATTTTTCGACGTGGTATGAAGATGAATAAGAAAACTGAATATTTTGTTCGAAAAGAACGGAATTTATCAGCGAACGGTTTCGAATAAATAATAGTTGTTACCTTTTGTTCTAGTCAGTATCGATAACGTCACCTGTACATAAATATACTAATCATGAATCTGTGATCATTAATATGTTTTAGGACTGTAATTAAATATTGACTTACTGAATAATTAGAAGATATTATCCTTTAATCACTTATTACCTGAAATATTCAGTCTTGTTTAATTGAAATCCTGAATTCTTTAATCGTATTATTTAATCTCTTATTTTTTGAAAAAGTACTCTAATATATTGATAACAAAATTGTTTTCAGATTATTGCAAAAATTACTTAATTTTCCGTATGTAGAGAATTGTTTTTAGTAAGTTATTATTTACAATGTGTCAATATTTTGCTAACAAGTATAAAAGTTTTAATTTCAGCATAAGTATATTAATAATGTATTTGTTAGAAATCAAATTTGAAGTATTTTTAAGCAGCTTTATTTCTAAGAAAGATATCTTGCAAAAAATCCATTCTTTAATTTTTACATCGTTTTAATTGTTATCAGATTAAACTAACTATTTTGTTTATCAAAGACAATAAAAAAATAAATATTCAAATTTTTGGCACTTTAAAATTATTATTTTTTTATTATTTATTATTTTTTTAATACTGCGTATGAGTAATAAATTCCATTAGTTAACTATTAGCGGAAAAAAAATATTATGAAGTTTTAATGCTAAGGAATGAATTATTTTTAAATAATTTTTTTCACGTTTATTATTCTGTAGACACATTTGAATTTTAATAATGCATTAATGATGTTTCTTTTAAACATAAACATTTTGTCATTATTGTTAGAGTGTTTGTGAACAATGAAAATAAAATTTATTTGATTATACAAATGATTTTGAGTAGAACCTATGAATTATTTTTTACCATTTCTTATTTAAAAGTTAATGTTTTCAATTTGAGTATTGATCAGAAATATTAGTTATTTTAATGGTTAAAAGTTTTGCAGTTCTTTTCCATCAGTTTCATAATTTTAATAAACTTTTCTAAGAGCTCAAACCTTTCCAATAGCTTTTTAGTGATTAAATAGTTTTAATAGTTTTCCTATAATATATTTGATTGACTTTTAGTAATTTTCCTTAAAAATATTATACATAAATATAAAGTTTCTTAGTTTATAAAAATATACTCTTATTAATGTGATTTTTAAAAATATGTCTGAAAACTGAATTGAAATACATATTTGCTTTGAATAATTTCTTTACTAAAACTCAAACTAGTATTTCTAAGAATAATATCAATATTATTATTAACAAAAGATTAAAAATTAATGTAATATTGAGAGTCAAAAATTAATATAATATTGATGCAATAAAATTCATCAAAATTTTCAATGAAAAACCGCTTATTCTTTTCTCACTTCCTAAATAATAATATATTTCTAAGTTGTGGAAAGTGTTAAAATATTTTTCTGCCTTATAGAATACAATTTTAATTAAAAAAAATAATTGTAATGCCATATTCAATTAAATTTAATCATTTTTCATTACTTTGAACATTAACATTTAAAACAATAGCATAACTTTAAAAGCTTAAAAAATGCTCTTTTTGAATTTCTTGAATATGTAAATATTCTAAATACAGAAAAAAAAATATTTTGTGTATTATGTATGCTTAAGTGCAAATTTATCTAAATGCTTTTATTTAGTAACGCCCTCTAAGTATTTTAATGATTTGTTTTACTCTTTCTAGTTATCTTTTAAAAAAAGTATTTTTTTTAATTATAGATGATTCGAGTGTAAATACTAAATTAATTCTTTATTGTAAAATTCTTCAACTAAAAGGAAATTATGTCTTATTTGAAAAAAAAAAGAAAAGAAAAATGTTCAGTAGATTGGCTTTCTTGTACGTAGAAATCTCTTCAAGGAAAATTATTTCACTGTAAATAGTTTTATAGAAAACTTATTTTTACAGAACTTGCTCTTGCTTATGTTTACTCCTACTATAGTGAGCTATTTTCTTTTCTCGTCGCAGATGTTTTTTTTTCTGCAATAGAAGTGCTTGCAAGAAGAAAATTTTTTTACAAAAAAAGTGCGGTCGCCCAAATTATTTCCTACTATTTCACTGCAATGTGAATACTTGAAAAAAGAAACTTTTACAGAAAATGTATAGTCACTGAAGTTGCTTCTTACAATTTCACTGCAATATGAAACTTGCAAGGAAAGCACTCTTACGGGAAAGATACAGTCACTGAAGTTACTTCCTACTATTTCACTGCAATATAAGTATTTGCAAGGAAAAACAACTTTTACAGAGAAAGTACGGTCGCTGAAGTTTATTCCTACTATTTTTCTGCAATATAAGCGCTTGCGTGAAAAACAACTTTCACTGAAAAGTAGGGCCACTGAAGTTACTACCAATTATTTTACTGCAATATATGTATTCACATTGCAAAATAACTTTTATACAATAAGTAAAGTCACTGAAGTTACTTTCTACTTGTGATTTTTCAGTGATTTTTTCGCGACGACGATTTTTCCTATTTTTAGAAATTTCATCATCTAAAAATATTTTCTATTTTACTACAATATACGTACTCACAAATTAAACTGACATTTACAGAAATTAGTACAGTCACTATAATTCCTGCAAAATCGAGTGATATTTTCTCTTCACTAATTATTCTATTACTTTGAAATTTCGCGAGCTAAAATAATTTTCAATTTCACTGCAATCTAAGTACTCGCAATGAAAAATTACTTTTACAGAAATTAGCACAGTTACTGAAACTAACTCCTGCGATATTGAGAGATTCATCCTCGTCGTGATTTTCTCTCTTTAGAAATTTCATTTGCCAATAGAGTCTTTTCTATTTCATTGCAGTATAAGTACTCGTTAGTACAAAAAACAGCTTTAACAGAAACTAATACAGTCACTGAAGTTAAAGGAAGAATTTTTCCCTTGCAATAGATTTTTCTTTTCTTTTCTTTCTCTCTTTTTTTCTTTTCGTTTTTTTTTACAAATTTTATAATTAAAAGAGTTTTCTATTTCACTGCAATATAAGTATTATTCAGGGAAAGAACTTCTATAGCAAAGGAACAGTTATTAAAATTACTTCCAACTATTTCACTGAAATATAATTACTTGCTAGGAGAAAAACAACTTTTACAGAAGTTTGTATTGTTGCTGAAAGTAATTCTTTCTGTATTAAGTAATTTTTTTAATTTTTTTTAATCGTTGTCGTTTTTTTTAAAAAAAAAATTTCATCAACTAGAAGTATTTATTTCATTTTACTGCAATAACTTGTAAGAAAAAAAACTTTAACCAAAATTATTATAGCCACTGATGTTAATTCCTTCTATACTAAAACATTTTTTTAAAATTCTTCCTAATCGTCGATTACACTCTTTTTTTTTTAGGAATTTCCTCTACTAAAAGTATTTTTTACTTTACGAATATTCACTAGGAAAAATAACTTTTACAGATATTAATTACTAAAATCACTTTCTAGTATATCAAGCGATTTTTCATTTCCTAGGAACTTTATTCACTAAAAGTATTTTCTTCACTAAAAGTATTATTGGAATAAATTAATTCCTTCTACATTAAGTAATTTTTTCTCTTCACGATTTATTTTTAAGGTCATTGGCTGAATGAGTATTTTCTATTCCATTATAATATACTGTCATGCGATAGAAAAAAATCATCCTTAAAATACACATATCTCTGTTATTATAACTAAAAGAGTCTTTCCTATTTCATTGAAATATACTATCGAGCAATTGAAAACACATCGTTAAAACATATGTGCTGCTATTATTAATATCTGTTGCTTCACAACAGATTTCAAGAAAAATGGCTTTATAACTATTTTCATTCTATTGCTAATGTTGTAAACTAAATAATAAAATAGCATTTCAAGAAACACAGAAAATTAAATTAATTTTTTAAATTTTTTTTTGCAATATTTTAATTATCATTCAAAAGTACCAAATATATGGATATCACAATTTTGAATTTTTTTTTATCACTTACTTTGATTTTTCTCAATGTTGTACAGTCATTGAAGCTAAGATAAGTACAGTCATTGAAGCTAAGATTAGTACAGTCATTGAAGCTAAGATAAGTACAGTCATTGAAGCTAATCCTTACTATATCGTTATTTTTAATGACAGTCAGAAATCTCATTTCAATTCAATATAAGTAACAAAAAATGTACAAATAAAATACATATACAATGTTTTGACAGAAGAAAGTGTCTAGTTTTGCTACAATCGTAAAATATCGAAACTAAATAGTTGTTTTTGATAAAAACTCTTTAAAGATATATAAAGTATAACCATTGAACTTGAATAGAGAAAATTTAAATAAATAATCCCAAGAAATAGAAGCGATAGGATATTACTTGATTAAAAACGTCATTCGCTTCAAAAATATACAAAATGAAGATAATAGTCGATATGTTTCAAACGCTCAAAAAAAGGCACCCATCTTTAAGACTTGCCAGACGTGAATTAAAAGAAACAATATCAGCACCTGTTTTGCATATTTCTGAAGTGAATGAAGTTTTTAATCAAGTAATAGAGAAAAGTGTTTGTTTCGAAAAAAAAATGGATTGATGTAAATTTTAAAACCAAGGATTTATACACGGATTCTGCATTCATCTCACATAATATAAGTTTTTTGGAATTTTAAAAAAATTTAAAGAATAAGCGATTATAAATATTGCAAGTCTAAAATTTAAATTTAAGCTGTAAAAACAAGTTACAAATTAGGACAATCACAATTTAAGAATGTGGATTAAATAGCATTAAAATTGGATTAAACTTTTCTTATCCTCTAATATTCTTTCTGCAATCCAACAAGCACATTGGTTTTTTTTAAATCTCGTATTTCTCATTCGCCATCTCGTATTCCCGTATCCTCAAATTTTACGCCAAGACTTCAAGTTTGAAGTACTTACAAGAGAAACTAGGGAAGTGTGACTCGCCAATTTTGAAATAAACTAGTGGGATGTATGCCTTATAAGGAATAATTTTAGAGGGTAACATTCGTTTTGGCCCATAGAAGGTCCTGTGAGAGATAAAAAATAATTCAATATATAGAATAATCGGTATTTTATTACTTCAATGCAGACTATTAGTTATTGTAATTGTCTCATACTCCAATTAATTTTTGTTACTTTCACGTACTATATAATGCATATTTATTGTTAAAATTGATTTCAAAAATTTTATATATCTGTAGTTTTTCAAAAAAACCTGTTAGGTAAATTTAAAAAAAAAATTTGACATTAATTTTTTTTCATTTTTTTTCTTCAAAAAACTTTCTAAATTAATTGGAGTATATAATTGCGAATTAATAAATAAATTAATAATTAATTAACAATTAATTAATAATTAATTAACAATTAATTAATAATTAATTAATAATTAGCAATTAACTAATTTCTGATCAATTTATTAATTAGCAAATTAATTAATTACCCGATTAATTACAAATTAATTGGATTTTGAGACAATTACAATAACTAATAGTCTGCTTTAAAGTAATAAAATACCAATTTTTCTATATATTGAATTATTTCTTATATCTCACAGGACCTTCTATGGGCCGAAACGAATATTGCCCCCTAAAATTATTCCTCATAAGGCATACATCCCACTAGTTTATTTCAAAATTGGCGAGTCACACTTCCCTAGTTTCCCTTGTTAGTCTAACAAACTATTTCAGATACATTAGTGTCAGGGCAGGGTGATTTAAAATAATCTGTAACAACAAAACCAACCTTGTGTTGGAAGAGTAAAATTTCGAACTTTTTTGCAATAACTTTCCAATCAGTTTTGCCAATCATCTTTTGGAGCAATTTGAAATTTTAGTTTAAATTTACCTTTTG